GATAAATTGTTTGCAATTTTATGAATACTACGAGCATTTGACATGTAACATCCCTTCCCGGTCCACCCGTAAACCCGAATGAACCGAGTCGAGACGCTACAAACTAGTTGACTGTATGGTCTGACATGCTGAAAATAATGTGTTTTGCATTTTATGAATACACGACATTGAATGTAACATCCTTCCGGTCCCCGTAAACCCGAATGAACCCGAGTCGAGACGCTCAAACTGTTGACTGTATGGTCCTTGACTGCTGAAAACATACTGTTAATATTGATATAATAACATGCTGAGTTTACAAAAATAATGTAATGTATACTTACAAAACATGATACTAGTTTTAACAAAATGAAATGGGCTCAATCTGAGTTGCCTGTACATGCCATATGAAGGAGAGACAAAGGTACACATTAAAATGAGTAGCTAACCCTGAAGACTGAGTTCTTCTTACAGTGACTGCATGCAGTTTGTAAGCCGACTCTCTATGTCCAATCTCAAACCTGCGAGTTAAACATGATAATCGCTGAGCAATTTATAATGCTCAGTGGATTTCTCACATTATAAAGAAACAAATAAGCACATTACATATAATAGAATTAAGATAACCAACATGTAAAACCATAATATGCACATATAAGCTCACACAATTATGATACTGTTCATTGATACTTGATTATCTTTTTGTAACTGTTTATAATACTGTTAATCTCCAATGAAATGTTATGTCAAGAAAATATTCTGTATGGCTCCATTAAGGTTATAGGTGAAAACCCGATTAGTGATAAGAAAACTGTTGAAAGGATGATACTGTATGCTTGGCTGGCCATATGGCCTCATATAATCATATCCACTAACGGCCTGTAGCCGAGTACCAACTGTATAGGTTGCGATCTGCTATCCTATGTTGCGACATAGCCTTATACATGGTTTTCTACTAACCTCAAATGAAGCATTAATGGTTGGGTATTAGCAAATATTTAACACAACATCACATTAAATAGTTCAATACTCATTTGCATCATAATGTTTATTTGATTTCAATCAATTTGCATGCTTGAAATGTTGTTTTGATACATGTTCTAATGTTTATTTGATGTTAAAAATGATTTGAAGGCATAATAAGTGAAGCAAAGAAATAACTATATTGCATTGAAAAAAGAAATCCCAATAAGTGCATGAAAACACAAGGTCGGAGCGCGACTTCAAAGGTTCGCGAGGCGCTGTAGATGCAAATGAGAGGACAGTGATTTTAATCGGCAACAAAGTCGAGAGCGCGTTACTTGAAAGCGCTGAGCGGCGGAAGTGCGCATTGAAGAGACATTGAAGTTCCTCAGGCTAAATTTCGCGAGCGGCGGCGATGAAGTCCCGAGCGTTACAGGCCAAAGGCCAAGTAACGCGAGCGCGCACTTCACAGTCGCGAGCAGCGAGATGTTGCAAATGAGAGTTAGAGATTTTTGCAGCACAAGTCGCGACCGCCGCGTACTTGAAAGTTCGCGAGCACGAGATTGTGCTAAATTAAGAGTAAGAAAGCTTCAGGTGAAAGTCGCGAGCGCGTAGGTCAAGATTCGCGAGCGCGAGAAGGCACGTCGAATCATATGCAATTCGGCGCGCGGCGCTTCCAGCCTGCATTTATCTGTATCCTTTGGTCATATCTCTCATATAATACAACTCCAAATTTGGATGGAATTCAAAAACCCAGTGTATAAGCTAACACATAGAGGAGAAAATAACTCTTCTATGACATCTCCTAATTTCCCATTCATAAAGTGGGGTCAAATCAAGATTAAGCTACTGGTAACAATTTCCAGCAAAACCTGTTTCAACATAAACCTCTACTCTTTACTTCATTTATTCAATAACTCCCCTGTTTCCCCTGTTTTCTCACCATTACCAGTCCTCCCACTCAACAAAAGCTAAAATTGGTCCTTCAATAGCAACACACCACACAAAATTTCTCATGCAAGAAATAAAAAATAACAGAGATTATTCAAAACATTTACTCAAAAGCTTGAGGTTCTTCCTTAGCTTCTTTTCTCTACTACACCTTAGAACTCTCTTACCTATAAAACCTATAAATAAGAATTCTTATGAATTCTAAAATAATAGCACCAAATGATTCAATTATGAACTTCAAGAAGGTTTACTTACTTGGATAAAAGAGAAGTTAAAGTTAAGGCTTAACTACCATGAATATTGAAAGTAAGGTGGAAGAGGAAAGGAAGAAGATGAAGATAAACATGAAAATGGAAAAGTGAAATGGGTATTATGGGTAGGCCATCAAAATCAAAGGATTTGTGTGTAGAAGTTTTAAATGGTACCTCAATTGTTAACAGGCTACAACTTAATACCCAAGCTCAATCTTTTAATGCAAATCACTCCTCACCTATATGCTTTAATCTTTTTCTCTCACTCAAACCACTTACAATCTTAAATCCACTTACAATCTCATTCTACCCCAACCGGGTTTGGTTCAACTCGACTCAACTCGACTACTCAACTCTATGCTAAGACTCGACTCGGAGTAGGATGTCACATGACATGTCCTTCTGAGTTTCAAAATGCAACAACATACAAACTATATTTTTCACATCTTTAGTGATGTTTTTTCTTTTGTTGCCTTTTCGAGTCTCTTCTAGAACATTAATCAGAGGTGGTGTGGGTTTCAGATTCTACAAAAGGTCTGATTGTTGAGTATGACCACATCTTCTGAAGTTGCAGGCAAGTCTTGAGAAACTGTATTCAAATCAAAAGGAAGGACGGTATTCATAGTATTTGTGGATTAAATTTTAGAGTTGTGAACTCATCCCTATTTAAATGAATTCACTTTAAAAATTTTGGCTCCAAGTTTCGTTTTCTATGTACAAATTTAGACAAACAAAATAAAGAATTTGCGGTTGAAAATTTTGGCTCGAAAGTTTCTTTCAAATCTCACACCCATGTTTTCAATCCAAATTTCAGATTGAAATTTTATTGGGCAATTAAAGTAAAATAGCCCACAGTTTTTTTATTATTAAAAGTCTAAATAAATAAAACTCTTTATTTAAAGTAAGACATATTTTCTCTCATTATTTACTATCTTTCATTGAAATTTAGAGATCACTTTAATATCTTTTTCAAAAATAAATTAGGAATAAATTAACGAAAATATCACTTTTTTAATTTTAGCTAAATTTTGACCTTCTATATAAATACGACGAAGGGAGTAATTTTTGTCGTGTGTGTTAACTATTTGTGGCATGGTCAATTTAGCTTTGTTCAATTGAATTATAGCAAGTGGAGGTAATGAGTCTATTAAGGCAAAAAAAAAAACAAATATTTTCTGAAGTCAATGCAAACCTGAAATAGCTTGAATCCGATCCAAGCAAACCAAATTCCCGTTGTGAGTGACATAAGCATGACGTGTCCTAAGTAAAATACTTCTCTTCCATACCATTTAGTATGGCATTTGATGCGCTGAAAGGCAAGTCCATCACAACAGTTGGTGCAAACAATCAAGCAATGATCTAACGGTAGTAGTTGTCCCAAGACAGAAGTCCATGTGCTTAAGACCAAGTTGTGGTTAAATTGGGGTGCTTCGAGTAATGTGATTAAATTAAAAGATTTATGCAAGAACACTTTTTTTAAGTGCCCATTTCAGCACCATTTCATATAAATGAATTTAAAATTTAAAATTTAAAATAAAATTCATTTATTTTTTTAAATATTCTTAGCATCATAATTTTATAAGACTATCAGGATGAAAAGCTTTATCATAAATATTTTGATTATTTAAATTTATAGAATTTATTTGAAAATTTCTTATTTTTTGGTAAAATTTGATTTACTTATATTCAAGTGTATAGAATTGAATTCGTAGAATTGAATTTTTTTTTATTTTTATATTAAATATAAAAATTTAAATTTATAAGTAAATTTCACAAAATTTTGTGAAATCTGTTTATTTCAAATATGGAGTTCATATCAAACTCAAAATTGCATATTGGAGTTTCAATTGGTAATAATTGTATGTTGTTGGTACTAATCTATAAATACTAATACAAATGGAAGAAAGTAATTGTGTTATTCTAAAGTAAAAATTAGAAGTACAATAAAGCATGTGATCTCTGAGTTAATAATATAATAGAGTAAAGTATTATTTAGCTCACGACCTTTGTTAAATTTACTATTTTGTTCTTTTATTTTAGAAGCTAATCGTATTGTTTTGAATTTAAAATTTATATAATTAAAAGTTAAACGGTTTAAAACTTAAATTTGCCTAATTATTTCTTACAGATTATTTTTAAATAATTAAATAAAAGGTCTCTCTTTAAAATGGAGAGACTTTTTAATTGGAAGAATATTAAATTTGAATGTTATATAATTGGTTCTTCAAAATAGAGAGATGAGCTATTAAATTTGATAAACCCTCAGGGACTAAGTAATATTTTATCCTATATAATATTATAATTTCATGTAAAATAATTTACTTACTCGTCTCATGAAAATAATATGAATTTTTTTTAACTTGTCTAAAATTATAATATTTTATTTTTTAAAAAAGAATAATCTTTATATTTTTTTATTATTAATCTAATTTTAAAATAAAAAATTAATTAAATATGATCTTTCACATTTATAGTTTAGAAAAAAATTAGAAAAAGAATAAATAAAAATTATGATTTAACTATATTTTTTTAATTTATATGAAAGTCGTGTATTTTTAATTAATTATATTTTTTTAATCTGTATGAAAGTCAAGGAAGATGATAAAATAAAAAATAATATCTTCAAGATAATAATATAATGTACATGTATGTGAAATATGTAATAATAATTATTCTACATATATTCTAATTAGGGAGCAAGTATGATTATGATGGTTGTGGGAGCTGGGGATAATTCCCCAACATACCCACCAACCACAAACTCAACCGCTGCAGACTGCTGAGATGTCAATCTTTCGGCCCCAGCAATAGGTATACTTGCCCTTTCATTCTCTCTCTTGTCTTTTCTCTCTATAAAATAACATCTTCTTCTGCTTACTTTTCTAATCCTCGCAACGATCCTATCTTCGGATTCCCATCCGCCTCTCTCTCTTTTTTCTCACTCCATTTTGAAAAAAGAAAATTAAAAAAAGCATAATGGGCAGCATTGAAACAGAGAGAGCTACTGTTGGATGGGCTGCAAGAGACCCATCTGGGATTCTTTCTCCTTATACCTATACTCTTAGGTAATTCTTGATTCAGTTCTATTTATGTTCATTTTTCTTGATATATTTGTATCAGTAATTTCATATTTCTCTATTGCTTCGGAACATTTTCTTTTTTAAATGCAGAAACACAGGCCCAGAAGATGTTTTGATAAAGGTTCTCTGTTGTGGAGTCTGTCACACTGATATTCATCAGATCAAAAATGATCTTGGCATGTCACGCTACCCTATGGTCCCTGGGTAGTCTCTCCATCTCCATCTTGGCTTTTTATTTTCTTAATCAGGATTTTAATGTTTCATTTATTCTGATAATCGTGTGGGTTATGGTACTTTTTTATTTATACAGGCATGAAGTGGTTGGTGAGGTGGTGGACGTAGGATCAGAAGTGACGAAATTTACAGTAGGAGATGTAGTTGGAGTTGGAGTAATTGTTGGATGCTGCAGGAATTGCCATCCATGTAAATCAGATATTGAGCAGTATTGCAACAAGAAAATCTGGTCTTACAATGATGTTTACACAGATGGAAAACCTACTCAAGGCGGCTTTGCCCAATCCATGATTGTAGATCAAAAGTAATTATAACCCAACTTCATTTTTATCAAAAACATTATCTTTATTGACTTAAAGGGGAGAAAAATCAATTTCCAAGAAATTGGGATTTTCTGATAATTCTAAATCCACAAATAAAATTGGTTATCAGGTTTTAATTTCTGATTTTCTGCACTGCAAGGTAGATATTCGATATTGAACATGTCTGAAAACTGTATTTTTTAAAATTATTGGGAGTGTGTTTGAGATCAAGGGTTGCAAAAAGCTTAATATTTTTTATGTGCTTGCAGATTTATTGTGAAAGTACCAGAAGGGATGTCATCAGAACAAGCGGCACCATTATTGTGTGCTGGGGTCACAGTTTATAGCCCACTTAGCCACTTTGGGTTGAAGCAGAGTGGGTTAAGGGGAGGGATATTAGGACTTGGAGGAGTAGGGCATATGGGGGTGAAAATAGCAAAGGCAATGGGACATCATGTTACTGTGATAAGTTCTTCAGATAAGAAGAGAGTGGAGGCATTGGAGCATCTTGGTGCTGATGAGTATTTAGTTAGTTCAGACACAACTAAGATGCAAGAAGCTGCTGATTCTCTTGATTATATAATTGACACTGTGCCTGTTGGTCATCCTCTTGAGCCTTATCTTTCTTTGTTGAAACTTGATGGGAAGCTGATTTTGATGGGTGTTATTAATACCCCATTACAGTTTGTCAGTCCTATGGTTATGCTTGGTGAGTCTTTTTATCTCTCTCATGTTAATTCTAATTTAAAGAAAATGGAAAAGAGTGATATTTTTTTTTTATTTTGGGAGTTTCGATATGAAGATTGACAACAGATGCTGAAGATCTTTTGTGGGAATTTGCTTTCCAATTTTTCTCTTTAACTGTTAGGTTTAGATAAAAATGGATGTTATGCTTTTCTATATGATTATATTTGATTGCTTCTTGCTCTGTTTTTGCCCTGCCTTTAGAAAATTCAATACACCTTCAAAATCTATTATGTGGTTGAATGTATATGCACTTTTGGATATCGATATTAGCAGTTCGAACTTCTATATATACAGTGCCTTTTTTTTATAATTTCTGATTTTTATTTTGGTGCATAGGAACTTAGTAGTTTCTGATTTAACAAAAGAGATATCAATATTTATTTGAAAAAAATATTTTTTTAGATTTGATCTTGTCTTAATTTCTTAAGATTTCAAATTAAAATTCAAAAATTCATGATTTTTAATTTGAAATTCACCCTCATTTCAAACAAGTGTCTATTAAATTTTGAAAACTCTGTTTCTTGGTGCAATTTTGTATAGGGAGAAAGATGATTACAGGAAGTTTCATAGGAAGCATGAAAGAAACAGAGGAGATGCTTGATTTCTGCAGGGAAAAGGGAGTAACATCAATGATTGAAGTTGTCAAAATGGATTACATCAACAAAGCTTTGGAAAGGCTCGAGAACAACGACGTCAGATATAGGTTTGTGGTGGACGTTGCAGGCAGCAAGCTTGAGGAATGAAGCAAATAAATAAACCAAAATCTTAAAGCTCAAAACTATAATGTGCTCTGTTTTGTGGTCTCTGTTTTGTTCGTAATAAAACAAGGTGAAGTGATGTTTTGGTTTCCAGTTGAATGCATTGTGGCTGTGGTGATCTGTGTGGTATTCTTGTCTCCTGACAATGAAAGATACCAAACTTTTTGTAATTGAAGGGAAAGGGTATTTAAATTATTGAAAAACATGTATCAATGTGACTATGAGAGGATAGACCTGGCCACTAATCGGTCTCAGTTTCAATGTTGAGTTAGAGATGATCATGGAGCAGATTTTGCAATATCCATATCTCATCCGCCGATAAAATTAATACCTATTGAATATTTGCATTGCATTAAATTGGATCGGGTAAATAAATAAAATAAAATAAATGAAAATAGCTTATTTTTTCAAAGAAAAAATTAATTAGATGGACCGCATAAATTATATGTCAACTTAAAAGCAATATAACGGAGTGTGGAGGACGTGAGCCAGGGGCTGAGGCACCGTTGGTGTCAATTGAAGAACATGATATAAAAATACGCAGTAACGAAAAGGTTAAGGTTGGAATAGGAGATGCAGGACGCGTTACTGCTGAGAATAATGATGAGGATGCAAGTGGTTCCCCTGTGAAACATAGAAGGAAACCGTCTTTTCGTAATATTGTCTTGAGAGGGGAAGACTTGGAGCATGATGATCGGAGTGCGGATGATGATGTCGAAGTGTCAAAGGATGAGTCTGATGGAGAAGGAAGTGATGATGATCATCCGGAGTGCCCAACTATGAGGGTTCCAAATACGGAGAAGCATCTTCTGAGGAATAAATGGAAAACAACTTTGATTATTAAGTTACTAGATTGCACTATTGGTTATGGTTTCCTCATCGGAAACTGAGAATTATGTGGAACCTGAAATCGCCTTTTAATCTTATTAATGGTTTCTACATGGTTAGGTTTTCTAACCAGACTGAATACGAACATGTGCTTTATGGTGGTCCTTGGCTGGTCGTCAATCATTATGTTACAGTTCAATGGTAGCATCCAAATTTTGACCCTAAAATTGTAAAGATAACAAATGCCTTAGTATGGGTTTGTGTTCCTAATCTTCCTGTGGAATATTATGATTAGAGGTTTTTAATGTGGTTGGGTTGTAAGATTGGTTCCTATCTGGGTTGATGAGACTACCTTGGATGTTACTAAGGGTAAATATGCTCGTATTTTTGTTGAAGTGGATCTTAATAAACCTTGATTATCAAAGTTTAGGCTCAGTTGTCGTGTCCGCCGTCTTGAATATGTGGGTGTCCACATCATTTGTTATCAGTATGGTTGCTATGGTCATAGATAGGAGGATTGTACTCTGTTGAATAGGGACATTGGAAACTCTAGATAGCAGGCGGCTATTGTTGCTGCTCCGGCAGAAGAGTTGGCGAGATATGGCCGATCAACATCAATGGTAACGGAGAATATTGCACCGGAAGTTACGGACAAGTTTGGTCCTTAGATGTTGGTCAAATGTCAGTGGCGTAAGTCAAGTAGGATTCTAAGTAATGCTCACTATAAGGGATTTGTTAAGGATGTGGTACAAGGTAATACAACTTTTTATACTACAAACAAGGTAAGTAAGAATCGTTTTACTGCCTTGTATGATAAGATTGTTGAGGAAGTGGTGTTTAATGAGGATCTTGTATTGGGCCTTCTGTTGGCCTCCCTGAGCTGCTTATTGGGCCCGGTCTATCCAAAGGTAAAACTAAAGTTTCTATATCAGTGGATCAAATATTGTTAGAGGAGTCTTCCTCTCATGGTCCAAACCAATAATCTAAGCCCCTCGTCTAAAAATGGGATTATATTATTTCTCCTAAGGATGCTTCTGATCGGGCTCTTATTTCTATAAAGCCCAAACAAGGTGTGCAACCTATGACGATTGACTCAAGCTCCATTCAATGCATGAGTCATGTTCCTCCAAGCGTGACTGATTCTTCTCGGTTGGTCCCTACCATGCCTCTTTCCTCTTCTTTTCCCACTATTCCTACTGCATCTGAGATTGTTGGTCCTTATAATGTTGCGACGATGGGGGAACACGTTCTTGTTAGGGGGCAAGCGTTAACATAATCTTATAGTTCATAGAATTTGTTTAATAAGAATACACAATAAGCGGAAGCGTAGCATGATCCATAGCTATTGATTAACTCGTTGCTGTAATTCAATTCTCACCATAACAGTAGATCTGTATTTTTTCACTTTGGCCTTTTATCCGTAAGTTTTCTCTTAATGGTCAGAGAATAATCAACAGCTACGGGTGTTCTTTTCACGATCTCTCAAGCAACCTATCACCGTATGTGTTTGAGGTAACCGTCACACTCTCTGTTTTTCTTTTCTTAACATAAACTATTGATTCACTTTTATAAGGCAGATGAAGGATATTAAAACCCTAACTGGTCCTTATCCCATTAAGCCTAATAATTATTATCTTGGGCCACTTTAATTAGAATCAACCCTTTAATTACATGAGCCACTCAGATTATTAAAATAATCTAACAATTTCCCACTTGGCCCATGTGCATTTCTTGAATCTATCATGTTAACCTTAATTAGAATTATCTATCATGTTAACCTTAATTAGAATTTAAAGGGATCGAATAATAGCGGTCACAAGTCATTAATCGATATGATTCCTTCCATATATCACAGATCATCTTAATCCATAATAACTATAATCGAGAAACGATTCGACAAATAATACATTGTTACAATCAATGTTATTGTTATCTCACCCAAACCATTATTGTATACATCTATAATGTAGATAACACATAAATAAGCAAAACACATCTCAAAACACATTTTTCCTTTTAATTTTTTGGGGGAATTCTCAATTGTTCAACAACTATGAGCAAAACTAACCATATGTTGTAATATAATATATATATATATATATATTATATTATATATTCTTTTCTCGTATATACAAGTTTAAACTCATGTTTAATAAGGACTTATCTATAATGCCCATTCCTATCAAACATGGCCGTGAAGATTTTGGCGGTAACCTTTAGTTAGCGGATCACTATCAATCAAAGTACCGATATGCTCAATTGACACTTTGTGTTTATGCACTTCTTCTTTCACAGATAGGTACTTTAAATCCATGTGCTTTGCACCTTTAGAGTACTTATTATTCTTGGAGAAGAAGACAGCTGCGGAATTATCACAGAAAATTATCAACGATCTAGCTATACTGTCGACAATGCCTAGACCTGAGACAAAGTTCCGCAACCATAATGCGTGAACAGTAGCCTCAAAGCATGCCACAAATTCAGCCTCCATCGTGGAAGTAGCAATGACAGACTACTTTCCACTTTTTCATGATATTACTCCTCTAGTTAGGAGAAACAAGTAACCAAATGTAGATTTTCTCGAATCACACAACTAGCATAGTCTGAATCCGAGTATCCCATCACTTCTAGATGGCTGGACTTTCTATAAGTGAGTATATGATCCTCCTTAGTGCCTTGTAAATACCTAAGTACTTTCTTTGCAGCTTTCCAATGGTCCATCCTGGAATTACTTTGATATCGCCCTAACATTCCGACGGTGAAACTAATATCCAGTCGAGTACATGTTGAACATATATTAAGCTCCCAACTACTGACGCATATGGAATAGACTTCATCTCTTTACGTTCCAAACTATTCTTAGGACATTGCATTTCGTTGAATCTATCTCCTTTCTGAATTGAAACTATTCCTGTGGAGCATTTTTTCCATTTTGACATATGAATAGAAAAAATTAATAATTTCGTGAATAAATTATTAATTGTTTAACAATTCATTGGATTTTGCATATATGAATAGCCAGAAATCCTTGTAAGACGATATAGACCCACTTATTCACTTGGTTTTTATTTAGTCAACGCCAAATAGGAATCCATGTGGGTTGCCACGTGGATTCCACTAATTAAAACCAGAAAATTACTAACCTACCCCTCCCTTATTCTCTACGACTACACCCATTTCCTCTCTTTTTGTTGGATCGAATTCAATAAAACCCGTCAAATTTGAATGCAAGAATTAAAGGATTGGATAAATGTTAATACTTAAAACGTAAGTTTAGTATGGCAAGAAAAAAACAGAGTTTTAAGTTCAATGAAAGCCAAAATGGATTAAGAAGGAAAAGCTAGAGACCACAAACTATACCTATCCTGAAGGAAGAGCAGCAGATGCCGACCATTCTGTATTCTAGCAGGTGTTACAAAGTTTTACAATGCCAGTAAATAACAAAATTGAGATTTCTAAAGATAATGCTATAACTAAGCCAATACCTACCAAACCATGCAATTGTACCACTAAATTATATTTAAAATCCCATCTCTTTTCTTTAATTTTGTAAAGGAATGACTTCAGCGACTATTTCTATGAGTAAGACTTCTATATAAAATAACAAAAAACATTATTTATTTGTTTATGATTTCTTAATTATATGTGTTTGTTAAGTATTTTCCTTTTACTAATAAAGAAAAAGGAATTCACGTATTAATGTTTTGCTATAATTACTGTTTTCTATATATTTTATTATTTACTCTTTTCCTATTTCTTTTAGTTATTAAATTTTATTCATTTCTTTAGCTATACATTGGTGCACAATTTTATATAAAAATTTAATTTCTCACAAAAATTAATTTTATATGAGCAGATTATTTTTAATGGTCTATGTGATAGAAGTTGAATATTTTTAACTTTTAAATTGAATATTACAATTTGATGCATATGAGAAAAACTTGAATGTTAAATAAGAGATGTATGTTGGGAAAATCGCTATTTTTCCCGCCCTTCGGATCGGCTTCAAGCAGGAACAAATGAAAAAATAAAATAATGACTGAGAAATTAAAGAAATTAAAGAGAACACGAATAAATTACGTGGAACTCCCCAAGTAGAGAAAAACCACGGCCGTTGTCAAACGACTAATCAAGAAAAATTCACTATGCGGCAATTGTTACCAACCACAATTACAAAATTTTTTTCTACTCGACACCCTAACACACCCCAAATCTTTTATACTCAAGGACTCCAGAGACTTACTCTACAATCCCTAAATCATAAAATGCATCCCAAGTGCTTTTTTGGTGTGTTTTGGTGTGTCCTGAAACCAAACATTGCTTCCAATCTTATAGCAAATTACTCTTCACTTTGCTTATCTTCCCCGATGTGGGATTAACAAAAACTAATTTTTTTTTATATTTTTTTTTCTTTTGTTTTCAAACAACGGCGGCTAACAATCTCACCTTGAAATAAAATAAAAAAAAAAA